CTTAGCCCCACGGAGAAAGCACGATTCCTTCTTACAATATGGATGGATGTACACCACTTCAAAAATTCCTTGTGATTATGCATCACATTTGCTATATTTGCTTATATAACCTCACGTTAAGTGTTTTAATGAACCATGCTATAAGGCTTACAGAAGTACTCTGCTAATGAGTACCAGCCTGCAGATTGGGTAAAAGAATGTCACACGTTTATAAATCCCTAAATGCATAACGAAGCAATCAACAGACGCATTCAAAACCAGACACTTAAAATCCATCACGTTATCTCAGGCTTGCCAGTGACTATGAGGCAGAACAACAAAGAGAGTGATCATCGTAATAACCAGCAAATTTATCAAGATGAAAAGAAGATGATCAGTCAATTGAAATCAGCTGCTGTGACACCCGACACTCCACAAAGGAGTATGTCCACTGCACCTGCCGCATGCAGAGAATGGCAGGGGCTACTGGTTGGCGAAGGTTTGGAATGTATCAAGGTCCAAGTAAAATATTATTTCATATGGCAATTACTCCAGTGCACATTGGTCAGTCTCCTTCATCCAAAATAGGCAGGGAAAAAATGTCAGCTAAGAATAAAGAAGGAAAGATAGGGCTACTTTCTGACAATGTTGATTTCATGTAATATTTAGCTACACGTAAAGAAAAAGAGACTCTATACTCAGATAACACCCTTTTCTTCTGCTATTAAGGAAAAGCCTAAAAGCCAACTTGTTCCCTGTTAGCTGATCCAATGAGCTCAGTAGTGTTTCACTGAACATACTGTGGGGTTTTTCCAAGCTTTGAGTGAGTGCATTCTATGCTGACTAACATGCATGATATAGACACAGGATCAAGCCTAATCTTCATCCTTAGAATGCTCTGCCTACAGCTGAACCTGTGGTGTCAACTCATAACCCTTCAAGCTTCTGATTACTTGTGTCTCTGAATTACTGTTACTTGCACACATATAAGTAATTTTCACTTTTCTTTTACAGAATATTTTCATATTGAAACATACCAAAACAAAACTGCACAGACACTCAGGTGTCTGGGATTACATATAATGCTCACTAGGTTTTACATTTTATTTACATTATCTCAGTCTGAATAGAATGTCTTCTATAATTGCTCTTTCAGGTAACATTGGTTTTGCTTATTCACCAAAACCTGTAAATACAGTAAAACATAACTGTCACGTGTATTAGAGTATACACAATGGAATATAAATTTAAAATAAACATTAATTTTATTTTTTCAGAGGAGTAAAAAACAGAATTGAACCTGGTAAACACCAGAACTAATGAGTAAAAAATAAATTTCCACCATTACTACTGCAGATCCAGCTCCACCGGAAACCACAGTGACAGAGGCACTAGACCAGACCAAGCACTGGCACCCCCCAGCTTCCTAACTAAAACATTAAAACTTGCTTCAAAAAAGATTAGGTGAAGAGTTGTTTAGGTTTGGCTTGTTCTGTTATATTTCAAACAACCCAGCTCCTGATTCATTATCTACTACACTACTGCTACTACCTGAGTGCTACACTGGCCAAGTTTGGTTATTCAAACGTTGTCCCTGCAGGGTTTTTTGTCTGTGTATTTGTTTGTATTTTTCAAGACAGTTCAAGTTCATCTGGAACATCTTTGAGATTCATGTCACCTTGCCTGTGGCTACATTTCTTGCTGAATCTGCTCTCTTCCAATCATCCCTTCAGGACTTACAAAAAACCCTGCCAAAATCCCCAAATAAAATCAAGAATAATAATTGAGCTCTAGGACAATATTTTCTTACACTTGTGGTTTCAGGAATTTTAGGCATAACTTAACTCAAATGCTCCACTACAGTAGGAAAACAGGTAAAAGTCTGTCTTTTATTTATGTCAACTTCTTCCCAGTTAAGTTCTATTTCCAGTTCTGATGCTCAAAAATCACTCTTACTTTAGCTTAATGAAGCTTAAAAACAAATATTTGCTGATAATTGGAGAAGGGTCACTTATACTGTTCAGCAGTGTTTGGCATGAGCAAACTGAAATCTCAAATGTCTTTGCTGAGCAAGAAGTTCAATCAACTCTCCTCCTTAGTAAGGATTTATCAAATTAATTCAAAAATTATGATGCATAACCTAATCAAAATTTAATTTAAATTTCCTCAGAGGTAAAGTAATAATATTACAGTGGTTGATTGATGAAATATACTGTGCTTTAATCTAGGAAATTCCTAATTGTCTTTAGTGCTAAAATAAGTATCTCCATCAGGAATCAATCTTGTAGACAGATTTCTTGAAATACAACTGCAATTACAATTATATAATATTGCTGTCATCATTAACTGAATATATTTTAACAGCCCCACCAAAATATTTAATCATAAAAATCATGGTAGACCTCATAGGCACACCAAACCTATCACAGTCCTCAGCAAGGCTGATGAGCCCAAGAAGCCTGTGCCTCTGTTACAGTGCACTGCACTAGCCCAGTGCAGCTCATCACAGCTAGTTTGTGTACCTCTGTACAGCATTGTAATCACATCCTTAGAGAAACAAAGGCAATTTAGGAAAAAAAAGAATAGCACAGAGGCTGCACAGCATCTGCTAATACTAGTGCGTGTTCTGTGTGAACCATCTAACACTTGTAAGACAACAAACATGCACATAATGGAATATTCAACAGCTTACAGCACAGGAACACAAATCTATGCTATTAAGCCTCCAACACACACCACTGAATAAAATGAGATACCTGTATCCTGAGAAAACTTCACTTTGTGCTGGCTTCAGAAAACAAGCCTTCTTCTCATTTATTGCAAAATAGAAGAGATTTGACCATGGCTATACAAAGTTCATAGCTTCTTCATACATAATCATTCTTCAGTAACCAGAAAACTTAGGCTTATCTAATTCTATAGCACCATAAAAACAAGGGCCCCTGTGTGCATGCATGTACACACACCAGCATTATATATATCTGCTTCACACAATCACTACTTATTTTAATGATATAGAAACATTTTCCCCAAACTAAACATCAGAAAATGCCTGGCTGTAGAATAATTAAATCTTCCATTCTATTTTGAAAAGTGGAAATAAGTTATATAATATCTGGTGAAATATCACATACCCAGTCACAGTTTGGCAATAAACTTTTTCAAGTATTTTGGAGATAAAAATGAAAATCCATCCTTAAGAAAATCTTCACCCACTGGGATCAAATTAATATGACATATTGTATGCTCATTTAACAATTTACAAGAACCCCTTGTAAAACCAGTATATAATGAAATATATGAAATATATGAAATATATGAATATACTTTTATAGCCTACCTATAACCTTTTAAAGAACAAATTTACACCATATCTTAAGAATTAAGTTCTAATGTCAAAGCCCTTTAAAAGAATTACCTGTCTTCAAGACATAGGAAAACAGGTATGCTGTTGTTTCGTAGAAAGAGAAACAGACCCTAAAGCTACACAATGTTATATTGAGGGATATATTTAGTGCTTGCTGGAAGCATCCTAACTGCTATTGTCATGTATCAATATAGCTGACACACAATTCTTTATTGTTTTTCCAGAGTTTTCCTCAACAATGACTCCTTTATACGACATAAACTACAGCTATTTTTAGTGATTGTCAGATTTGAAGACTATAAATCTCTGTAGTTACTGCACCTTCCTCTTCTTGCATCTAATCTCTCAATTAAAACAAATATGTCCCCAAAGAACTTCGAAGAAGAGGCTGAATTAACAAACTATTTAAGTGAACCAGAAGCAAGGCAATCCCTTATGAATACAGAGTCTGCAATTAGCCAAAATGCTCCATTTTGCTGTTCACAACGAGGCTGAGGCTCAATAAAAATTAAACACTGATGCAGGCAAAGCATTCCCATGGGGCTCACATATATTAATACATTACCACTCAACAGTTGCTTTATGTCCAAGAAACTGGGACACAGCTTGAAACTGGCTGGCTGCCTGTTTGATAAAATGGAAAGCTATTGGTGATAAGTATTTTCTCTTATTTTCATATCCCAAGGGTCATAAACAGGCTCAGTAAGTATTTAAATGCAGTTCCTAACAGTCACAAACTCATAATGGTGCCAAACAGATATGACTCAGGTTCTGACTGATCAGAGAATAACAAGCTCATAGATTCTGCTTAGAGTCACAGTCGTGCCTTTGGATCACCCCAATCCCTAGCACTGCGTTTCCTGAAACCTCTAAGTACCTTAAAACCAATTCAGTTCTTAGCTTGATTAGGATGCAGGCAGCAGTCCACACTTCAGTGATGACCTTTTTAAGCAAAAATGTAGAATAATTTAGGTGGCTTTATTACTACTCTGCAGAACACAATGTACAGAAACTTGAACTTACAGAATAAAATAGTTTAGATCTATGATTATTTTTACTTTAATAGGACAGAGTCAGGAGAACAAACATTGTTTATTAAAATGTTTTTTGAAGCCACAGACAAGTAATCCACAAATTATCAGCTCCTTGAAATCTCTCAGAAATGAGGCACTCAGCACCTGACTGTGTCAAGTTAAAATACATACTACATCAACTTTTCTATTCTATCAACTAGAAACCTTAAACATTAAACATGTAACTAATAAAAATGTTTAGTTTATCAAACAGTAAGTCACTTTTCAAAAAAAGGGTATTTTTAGAGCCTGTACTACAACAGTATCAGCAGCTTTATAGGACTATAAAAAAGAACCTCAAGCTGCAACTGCAAAACTATTCACCACCTTCAAAAGGCTTGTTCTGGAATGAAAGGGCTGATGTTCTGAAGTTCAGTTCTTATCCAGACATCCTCTATTATGGCAACCTTCTATAATTTGTCTTACTCTGTCCTTACAAAGTCATCATGACTTTCACTTCTCTGTAGAATCCGGCCTTTCATCAACTGAGTGTGAGGATCAAAGAGAAAATAAATGCACGTCACCACTGGATGGACTTAATTCTCACGAACTTCACAAATCCTAGGTTAGTTCATGCTCACCTTTCGCAGGAGGAAGCAAATCCGCTCAATATTTCTCAGCCGCTCTCTCTGTCAAGAAAAAGGAGGGGAAAGGCAGGAGATTAGCTGGTGTTACAAATTAAGACAATATATTACAATTACAAGGGTGAATGTTTTAATTAATGGCCGCAGTGAAGCAATATATGTTGTTAATCTGAAATGACAGCATTCACTTCCTACCTACTGCTAGCAAGCTAAGTGATTTACCCATTTCAAAGTCCCAGTAAGTTATTTTTTCATCTGTTACTGGGTGTAACAATATCAACTGGGGATTCCAGTCTGTTAGCCTCGAGCCAGAGGCTACAAATGTTTTTTAAGTCAGCCTTTGTGCAAGACTTGGTCTTGCATCTTAAGGTCCCCCACATCTGGCTTCAATATAATTCTGAATGGGAAAAACAACTATAACATTTGTATGGCAGCTCTTCCTCTATCACCAAGATGGTGCCTCAACATGTGATATTAGTATGTAACCCGTTAGTGAAAAATATTTGAACTGTCCTAGAAATGCCACTTTAAACGACAGATGCATTCATAAATACCGAAAATCACTGCAATTAAGTACTGTGACTCAAAAGATGCTTTAAGCTCAACTCACAGAAAGAAAACAAATCAAAGACAGGTTTTTTTTTAAATGGCTCATAATGAGAAACTAACCAGTACAATCAAATTTCACTGCATAACCCTATCATTGAAGTTATTGTGGAACACTCTACTGTTGGTTACACTGCAGAAGGCAGAGTGGTTTTGTTGTCCTCAGAAGACTATCTGATAATATTTTCACTAGACATGGGAAAAATATTCCAAACAATTAACTTCTTTGTACTATACCAATGTAAGAAATCAACTCTCCCTACGCTTTCTGCTTTTCAAATGTTTTAAATTTGCCACAAGTTTGAGTTTTATTTCTATTCTCAAAAGAAATGCCTCTTTTGCTTTTCTGTCCCCAAGTTTAAGCCATTTTTTTAAAAAGTATCATTTTGGAAAGACAATGAGGCAGTGGCAACTTGATAGGCACCAGAAAAATACTGTGCCTCTTTTTGGTGTCTCTGAGCTAAAAGACATTCAGAAATGTTAGACTCACAGTTGCAAACATGAGAATGGATGTGTATGGACATGCCTGTGAAGCTGCAGAAAGCTCTCTTGCCTTTAGGAGGTAAGTGGAGAGAGAAAAACAGACCTCTCAATTCCCTTTAAATAGATTCCTAACTGCAGCTGGCCTTGGAGAAGTAGGAAGTCTGTCTCTGAACTATAGGTAATAGAGGGCAAACCAGGACATTTGAATTAAATTCTAAGTACTGCCCTTGTTTTCGTCCCTGATTTCTCTTTAATTCAGCCCCCTCTTATCAAAAAGGCTCTTGTCCTAGTTAGGACAGCTGAGATCAGTTCATCATGGTATGGGTGTAACCCAAAACTGTGTATTCTATAGCCTTCCATGCCATTTCCCAGAAACTGTTGTCAATAGACTATTCGCACCCTCTGCCCATAAGAGCCTGACTCCTCAGGCTATAAACTAGGTGTTAAGAGGCCTGTGAGATAGGAGGATGCTCTTACCTTTTATGGAACTCCCTGAGGGAAGTACTGACCATTCCTGCCTGAACTGGAGAATATATAAACCTGGAGTTTCAGAACTTTTCACCCCGCTCGTGGGATCCAGAAGGAAGACTGCAGCTCATCGCTCTCAACCTCAGCTGGACTGCAATCACCGCTTCTGACCAGACTGCAACAGCTCTCCCACCAGCAGGTTTTTCCCCTCTCCCTTTACTTTGGACTCAAGCGGGGCCCAGGGAACACCACTTTGTTCATGCCCCCAAGGTATTGGGTTATACATTTGGGTTTTGTGGGTTAGGACCAATTGTTTGTTTGTGTGATTGTGCTTGCTGTGTTGTTTTAATAAATTGTTATTCTGACTTGTGGTCTCTCCTTTGAGTTGAGTTCATTTTCCCTGCTGGTTAACTCTTAAACCAGCACAGCTCTACCCTCTGTCATGAAAACATTGTGGGAGATACATTGGTAAACATTAGACACTCTTACAGTGCAATAAGGAAAACTACCCCACTAAATAAAAGGAATATGGGCACAAGCAACTATGCAGAGGGAAAAAGAAAAACACACTTGAACAAATGTATAAGAAATACCTGGTACAAATAAATACACATTTCCTGTGCAGTTCCCAAGATGGGAAGTAAAAACAGATAAAGTGAATTCAAAATCAGATTACATCCAGTAAACTCAAAACCAGTTTATATCCACTGAAGTCCTCTATAGGATTTCTTCACATAATTTCTTTCTTCTATTTTCATGCTTTAATTATGTGTTAGTGAACTGTAAAAAAAGCCTTCTTATTCTAAGATTCACGTAAAGTTTATGCTTAAAATCATCAGTGGTCTAAGCCGTACCACAAATCCTCTGCTGAGTTACGAAACAGGGTTAAATGGCAAAGTACTGAATCTGGTTATCATTTGCAGGCAATTCAATAACTTGATACTCTGTAGAGATCAAATCCAGCACCTGTTGTAGTCATTGTAATTCCCAGTGAGATGATGGGGAGCCAAGTTCTGCTCTCAGTTCTGGTAGTACAGACTGACACATGTTTAGCTGTAGTCAGCTAAATCACCCTAGATTACAGCTTTAATTAGCAGAGGAATTTTGAAATACTTAAATCTAGGCTGCATTTTTGGTTCATTAGTTAAAAGTGAGTTTACAGTCCCAGGGTAATATTTAAACTTTTCCATAGCAGAAGCAGCAGAATATGATATTTACTCTTAAAGCATGGGAGCACTTAGAGCCCTGCCATTGGAGAGAGAGAGGTCCACGAACATGCCTCTTACCAAATCTGCTCAAGCTTTTGGATCATTGATACAGGCAGTATGGGAAAATGTGGTCATCCCATGCTTGAACACAGAGAAGGCAAATTATTTCAAAAAGGAAAACTTGTGCCACAGCACGAAAAGGTAAAAAAGAAAGCATTAGCATCACATCAGCTTTTGAATTTCCAAATTATTTTCCTGCCTCCTTCAGCAAAAAGGAAGGCTATTAGCATAAAAAGTAACCATCTGTCTTCCCAAGACTGGCCCAGTAAATCAATTTTCCAAACCACACTTGACTTCACAAGAGACTCTATATTAATTTCACTCAGACTTCACTGACAGCTCAGCGCATCCCCCTTTCTTGAGCAGGTACTGTTTAGCAAACCGCTGGTTGTACTCACTGCGTGGGCTGGGTTGCACTGATCGATTGGGCTCTTGAAGTCTGTCCGAAGTTCATCAAAGGCAATTATCTGAAAAACATTTTTTTTTTCAAATACTGTAATGAATGTTCACTCAAACACTTATTTTCCTTTAGAGACAAGGTAGATGCATTGCCTTCCTTCCTCGCTTTCCGGAGAAAATAGCTTCTCCAACACACTCCCTCCAGAACTAAGTAGCTAAAACAAAACATGGGATACTCCTACATATGAAACCTAGAGCTCATTAAACTGTCACTCTGTAGAATCATATCTACAGCCTTTTCAGCGTTGTTACTTTTCGTATTTCTTCCCTCATATCAGCCAGAATTCTTTTCTCAAATTTCCACATGGCATAAAACTATTTCACAAACAAATACATCTCCAAATTCGAAGGAGAAAGTCATTAGCTACCCAAAACTATTTCACAAACAAATTTCACAAACAAATTTCACCCAAAACTATTTCACAAACAAATACATCTCCAAATTCGAAGGAGAAAGTCATTAGCTACCCAAAATACAGAGGTGGATCAGCTATGCTGCTCCAGGTTTAATACATAAACAGTCCATTTTTATTAGTTATTAAACCTACTTCAGATATTAAGTCTGAATTAGTATCATCTTTACTGTTATGAAGCTGCTATACATTAACAAACAAATTCCTCAAATGGTAAACCATTCTAGAGCAAACATGTGCTTCCTAAATTCTGGCAGGTTTTAGAATTTTACTTCAGACCTCATTAACAGAGAGATGTTTTTTGCTCAAGTCCTTCAGTTTCCTCCATTAAGACACACTTGCAATTACTGGTCCTTTTAAAGCAGGGCAGATAAAAGTGCCTATAAAAATAACAATATTTGAAAGTGTTTTCTTGGAAAGAAAACAGCTGTAGTAATCCTCATCATATTCCATTCACAGATCTCAAATCACATTCTTAACTTTATGTTTGTATTCTAGTGATACCTTTTCTTCTGCTTCTTTCTTGCTTCACCCGAGGAAGGAAAGCTCACTATGACAGGCACCACATAAACAGATGTTAAAACAATGATTCCTTTTTAGATAATTTACAACCCAAAGTCTCTGTGCTCAATAAAAAGATGATGTAAGTATAAGGCAGCAGTTGGGTAATTAGTATGTGAGTGCAACAGCCATTCTACAACATGCTATAGCAGCCTGGGCCTAACTGTTCAAAAAAGAACCGTGTCAACACAGACCTGCTGCATAGGTAAAACACATTCATTTTACAGATATGGAATGAAGGAGCAGAAATCCTAAAAATGGCCTATCCATGAATTATATAACAATCTGGCTAGAGGCTTGAGAATAAAACCTAGAAGCTACAACCCACAAATTTAAGCACTACTCCACATCCCACTCTAATGCTGCATTCATCACACCGAAGCACATTTAAAAATCAAAAGTGTGGCATTTACAAGAGCACTCTACAGAGTTCAATTTATTCAACTATGACAAGTCAAAGAGGCAGAATAAACCACAAAGGGAACTATAAAACATGATTATAAGTGAAACATTTCTCCCCATGGATGCAGTAGCTCTACAAGTTAGGAATTAGATCTGCAATGGTAAAAGAGCAAATAACAGAAAATGTTAGAGGCTTGGAGTGCATTTGTGAAGGATAAGGCTCACAACACCTCTATATTTAAAACTTCTTGAACAGGTCTTCATATTCTTAAGCTGGACCAACTGCTAAGAGGTTTAGAACCATGCAAGTCGGACACACATGTAATTGGGTACCTCTTTGTAACTGGATATCAACATCAGCACTGACAGCACTGACAGGAAGGGGGAAGGATGGCCCTGTAACAGGTAAGACAGCTGTCTCTCATAGCTGTACCACTGATTTACTTTAGGATGCCCTTAAATTCTCTTTACCTCACTGCACTGGTACTTACAGATGTAACTTTAAGAAAGAAAACTGTTATCAGCTTTGAGTGACAGCTATTTTTATTAATGTACAGTGGTTACAGGTTTTTTTCCACTGTAAATGTAGCGATGAGTCTTCTTTCTGGTAGTCAGTAAGAGCAGCCAGGAGTTTATCATGAAATGTCAGTCAGTACAAGATCCAACTCATGCTGTGAGGAAAGACTGTCTGAGACAGCATTATGGGGAACCTGAATACTGAAATCATAAGATAGACTCCTTCCAAGAAGTTCAGGAAAGCCTCACTTGGCTGCTCTGAAAGACAAAGCTGTTAAGGCAGGGCTCTGTTGAGCTAGCTTTAACTACTACAGGCAAGTCTTGAAGAAATCCTAAATGACAGTTTGGAAAAGAGGTTAGCCCCAAATATACTGCACATTTAGATTTCCTATTTTTTTTCTTTCTCTGTTTATTTATTTTATTTATTTATTTATTTTACCAACATTCCCAACTCTCGAGCCCAAATCCTACTCTTTATTTGCTGGCACTCAATTTATGTTATGTTGTATATATCTAAGTGCCTTGACACATTGCTTTCATGGAACCAGTAAGTGTAAATACAATAATCCCATAATCTTTTGAGATGTCTGCAAATTATGACAATGTTGAGAGACAGTCCTGCTACACCCAAGAGAGGCTGAGGTCTGGTATCAAGCACATATGATTTGAAGAAAGTTTCTTCAATAAAAGTTTTGGTGTCTCTCTGGAAAGTAGTTGACAAAAAAAGATTCTCCTCAGTTCTTATCATTTTACTTCAAAGAAGTTCCATAATAGGTCTTAAGTTGTTAAATCTCCAGAAATGGAAATTTAGCAATGACATTATTTTAAATTATGAACAAACACATTCCTATTTCTTATTTCTCAGTTAGAGTGAAAACCTTGAAAGTATAACATTAGGTAGGCTCACTATTAGAGGGAATATAAACTCCTAAAGTGTTTTGGGGGCACGTTTTCTCCCGGTTTTTTGGTTGGTTGGTTGGGTTTTTGGTTCTGTGTTGTTTTGTTTTGGTTTAAATCTCACAGTGTTGGGTGTCCTAATTCTAAAACCACAACTGAGAAACAGAGCTGTAGCTTCTTATGATTTCTGGTTGCTCACAACACATTTGGTAACTGTGCAACAAATTATATTGCATTACAGAAAATATGGCTGGGCTGTACTGCTGTGGGGTTTACATAATTAATTAGGAAACGTCTTCCTCTTTCAATTATCACTCATCTTCTGTAGCAGTTCAATGCCCTAGGACATTGTGTGGCTGGAGGTGCCATTTTTCCATCCAAAAATAACAAACTACTTGCCTCCATTAAGTTTTTCACAATACTTTCACGGGAGGTGCACTGTTCTGACCACAGACTAGAGAAACGAGCTGCTGCCTGTTGACATTTTAGCTGGATGCTTCTGCTACTGCTTCCCACATATAAACCGCCCAGAGCTGCTGAATGCTCTGGGACAGCAGCTGGATATGCTCAGGGGCTGTTTCACCTCAGAAACCGCCACACTTACCAGCATCTTGACAGAGCAGTTCATTTCCAGGCAAACAGTGTAAGAGATCCCAGCCAGGGCACTTCAGCACATGAATTGTCATGATTTCACCTTTGTAAATGAATGTATTTCATAAAGTGTTCAATATCTTTTCAGTTATCCAATCTAATTTGATCCAGGGTGACAATTAAGACTACAAAATATACACACACAGGGACATCAGCAACCTCATCTCTCGAAAGGCCACACTATAAGCAGACTGTTCCAAAGAAAAATGACCAACCTCTAGTCATAAAGCTGAACAAATAGCTAAGCACTCAGCATTTTGGAAACATGTGCCAGGGACTGATCTTACACACAGGAGAAATTTATTTCTATTAGGAAACATTAATGTTGTACATTGGCTTCATAGACAGAGAATAAGGACCATCTGATATTTATTTAGAAACTCAAAGGAAAAAAACCTAAACCACCAAGTTATCTGTTTACTTGCAAAGCTATATCAGAGGGAAAAAAAAGTGCATCATGTTTAGCAATAATTTTTAAAATTACTGCAGAAACAGGCTGGGGTTGAATGGACAATGGATATTGCACTACCTTCTGCCTTGAGGTCTTTTCTCTGTGAATCCACATTGCAAATCATTGCAGGAAGTTTGTTCTGCCACTGCCCTAGCTATGCTTTTTCCTGTTCATAGAAGTGTATTAGAAGTGTACTTGTGGTTGTTTTCCACCTAATAAAACTAAAGGTCTGTAAAAATACTGGTTGCAGTCTCTGATTCACACCATCTGCAAACCTCAAAACTCCAAGTGTAAGTCAGCAAGGAGTCTGCCCCAGTTTGAACACATACTGAATCAACGAGATTGTGATGACAATATGTTTCAACTGCAATGATATTTATAAAATTTGTTTTCATTACCCACACTCTCTGTGCTTATCTTTCCAGACTGCAACAGCTTTGAATAATGAAGTATTCACATAAGATCGAACCTGAATTTTGTTTTCTTCCTATGCTTATGTACCAATCAAATCGAAAACTTCACTTAATGCTAGAAACAAGCTATGACATCTCATTTTTAGGGAAGATACTTTTTTTTAATCACTGAGCTCTTACAGAAACATATTTTAATTGAGACTCTGATGTTTCAGGGTGGCAGTGAAGTTGGTGTGGGTGTGAAACCAGTGACAGCAAAGAAGTTGGATATTATTGCTTCTTGGCATCTCAGAAAACTTAAGATAAAACAGAACTTGATGACAACCACACTAACCACAGACCAGAACAGTAACACTTAACATATGTTTCCTTGCCACCACCCCGTCAATGCACCACAATCCCATCTTGAAGGAACTGTCTTTAATGGTTCATTTAAACAATTTGTCTCCCCCTCCACTCTCAGATGCAGCTTTCACAGTGCCCATACTGGCAGTTCATAGGCTGTCTGCAAGTCAGCACATGGACAGAAGGTGGGCAGGTTTAGGAGCAGGCTGTCCTCCTAAACTTCATGCCAGCCTATCAACTGCTCCATAGACATATTTACTGTGTTGGAGAAATCATGCCTGAACCATGAATTGAACCATGTTGATGCAGTCTGGGTGAGTTATTTTGCTGGATTTTGTTGACCAGAAGCAACAACTGAC